CTTCCCCCACCTCCCCCTCCCTGCTGCCCCTGCCTGCCCCTCCCCCCGCCTACCTCCCGTGTCCCCCTCTGCCCCCCTCCCCTCCCCCCCCCCCCCCCCCCCGCTGCCCCAGCACAGGGCCTGTGTGGCCCAGGTCCCAAGCACACCCAGGGCACACCCACCCCTGTGGGCAGGCGCTGTCCCCAAGCCTTTGTGACTGGAACAGTGGGCTTCTCAGGGAAACTGAGGCATGCAGACCCCGCATGGCACCAGGCCAGCCCAGGCCGCACACCCGCGGTCTGTGCCTGGCTCTCTGTGGCTTTGAGGGGCACTGGGGTTAGGGCTGAGCTGTCAATGAGCAAGAGACCGGGGCCCTGGGCACAGGAGGGACCGTGAGCGGCCAGAGAGGCTGTCCCGGCCTGCTCCAGCGCCGCGCTGGCCACAGCGGGCTTCGCGGCACCCGGCCCTGCCCTGGGGGTCCAGGGCCCATCCCCAGAGGTGGCGACAGAGTGGGACTTGTGCCACGGGACCTCCATCCCAGGAGCGATAGGCCAGGCCCAGGAATGCGGCCTCTGCCCATGAACACGCTCTGCGCCCTGCAGGCCGGGTCGGCTGGAGGTCACTGGGGACTGAGGCGGGCAGGTGAGGGGCAGCCGGGAGCTCGGGAGCCGGAGAGGCCGCGCGGTCCTAAGAGGGCAGTGACTGCCTTCAGGCTGCCCGTGGAGGGAGGGCAGTCCTGTCCCCGGGGCCCTCCGCTCCCCCCGGAGGAGGGAGGGCTGTCCTGTCCCCGGTCCCTCCGCCCGCCCTCTACCCGGGCTGCCGCTTCCCACCGTCTGTAGGTCATCCGTTGGCCCCGGCCTTTGACTGCTTGGTGACAGCCAATGGGGGCAGGGCAGAGCTGCTCGGGGCAGGGCCGCGCTCCGGCCGCCAGCGCTCCATCTGCCTCCTCTCCGCACCTCTGCTGGCCTCTGGCTTGAGGGCTGCGGGCGGGCGGGTGGAGGCCGGAGGCCGGAGGCCGGAGGCCCGGCTGGCCCGGTCCCTCTCCAAGACCTGCTCTCTGCTGTGCGGTACACAGCGGCTTTGAGACACTTTGCTAAGGCTGGATGGGTCCTTCCCAGAACTGGACATGTCCACCTGTGCCATGGACCCCAGGGCTAGGCCTTCCAGCACCTTCCGGCCACCGGGAGATGCTTGTCAGCTTATCAGAGGCCCGTGACTCTGAAGAGTCTTTCTTATCAGCATCCCACCCATGCGCGTGGGCAGGGCCTTCCGTCCGCCCAGCCCGCCCGGGCCTCTCTCCTGCTTTGGGCCCCAGGTTGGGTGAGGGTGACCTGGGCCGCTGAGGCTGGGCGTGCCTGAGCGGTGGGCCGCGCTGGGCCGGCCCCGCTGGTCCGCACACCATCTGGCCCTGTAGAGACTGCCGGACCTGGGAGTGTGGAAGCCACGCCGGCCACACCCGAGGAGGAAGAGGCCTGTGGGGGGCCGTGGCCACTGCTCCACGTCTGCCCCCAGCGGCCCCTCTGCTGTTCCCAGGCCCCGGGAGGGGCCCTCACCAACAGCCTCGCTCTGATGGGGCAGGGCCCAGCAAGCCCTGCACTGGCCTCAAAATGGCTGTGCCCAGGGTGCCAACAGGGGACACGGGAGGGGGGACAGGCCACCTCCTGGGCGGAGGGCAGGGGGAGGGCGGCGGGGAGGAGGAGGGAAACAGTGGTGACCTCTAACACTGCAAACGGATACCCTGACCTTCCCTAGCTCCCGCACACCTCACCTCCCAACCCTGACACCCCAACCTCCCAGCCCTGACACCCCACCTCCCAGCCTGACACCCCAACCTCCCCAACTCCCTGACACCCCAACCTCCCAGCCCTGACACCCCACCTCCCAGCCCTGACACCCCAACCTCCCAGCCCTGACACCCCAACCTCCCAGCCCTGACACCCCACCTCCCAGCCCTGACACCCCACCTCCCAGCCCTGACACCCCACCTCCCAGCCCTGACACCCCAACCTCCCAGCCCTGACACCCCAACCTCCCCAACCCCCTGACACCCCAACCTCCCAGCCCTGACACCCCAACCTCCCAGCCCTGACACCCCAACCTCCCAGCCCTGACACCCCAACCTCCCCAACCCCCTGACACCCCAACCTCCCAGCCCTGACACCCCACCTCCCAGCCCTGACACCCCAACCTCCCAGCCCTGACACCCCAACCTCCCAGCCCTGACACCCTAACCTCCCAGCCTGACACCCCAACCTCCCAGCCCTGACACCCCAACCTCCCCAACCCCCTGACACCCCAACCTCCCCAACCCCCTGACACCCCAACCTCCCAGCCCTGACACCCCAACCTCCCAGCCCTGACACCCCAACCTCCCAGCCCTGACACCCCAACCTCCCAGCCCTGACACCCCAACCTCCTCAACCCCCTGACACCCCAACCTCCCAGCCCTGACACCCCAACCTCCCAGCCCTGACACCCCACCTCCCAGCCCTGACACCCCAACCTCCCCAACCCCCTGACACCCCAACCTCCCAGCCCTGACACCCCAACCTCCCCAACCCCCTGACACCCCACCTCCCAGCCTGACACCCCAACCTCCCCAACCCCCTGACACCCCAACCTCCCAGCCCTGACACCCCAACCTCCCAGCCCTGACACCCCAACCTCCCAGCCCTGACACCCTAACCTCCCAGCCCTGACACCCCCCAGTCCCCTGGCCCCCCGGCCCCGGCCTTGGTGGACCTGAGGTCCTCCAGCCCAGGGGGGAGCGTCCTCGGGCTCAACCCCAGAGCGGGCCGGCCTCCGCCCTCGGGCTGCGCCGCTGTGCCCAGCCCTGCCCTCAGCCTGGCCTGGCTCTGCAGGCTCCCTGCTGGCCGAGGGACTGATACGTGGCTCCAGAGCTCCTCCCCTGCCAATCCTCCCCTCTCTTCAATGCCCTGCCCAGCTGGTTCCTGGGCAAATGAGTCTCCCTCACACCAGCCCGGGCCTGACAGGACAGAAGAGGAGGAATGGGGGGCTGGCGTGGGTGGCCCTCCCCTTCCGAAGGGAGCCTAGAACCTACATCCACGTGGAGGCTATGTGGAGGCTGTCCAGGCAGAGCCGGTGAGGCTGGGGCCTGGGCGTCTGGGATCCGGGCCAGGCTCCCGGACCTGGCGTGTTTGCGGACCCGTGGGCCTGCGTTGGGTCGACCGCACCCCGGAGAGTGAGCCGCCCTCCTTCACCCACGACCCAGACCAGGGCAGCGGACACAGCCCTGCCAGTGCGCCCCGCGCCAACGCGGTGTGCGGATGGTGGACACACGCAGATGTGCGTGCCACACGTGCGCAGGGCAGAGCCCCGGCCTGCCCCAGGGCTTCCCGTTTGCCAGCCGTTATCTTCCAGAAATAGACGAACCCAGAGTCTCCATCGGGGACATTTCCCGATAAGCCTTATCTCCCTGCCACTGCATTAGCGCCGTCGGTCGGGGCTCAGCTGTGACTTCATTCCAAGTGGCAGGCGGGGAGGGGCGCAGCGGGAGCACAGCCCGAGCTTCCCAGCCGGCCGTCCTGCTGAGGCTGCGGGCCCCAGGGACAGCTCTGCTCCCTGCGCAGCTCGCCGCTCACGCCAAGAGGCCGGGGTTTCTGGCGGTGCCGGGCCGGAACAGGCCTCTCCTGGCCACACTGAGCAGCACAGTGCTTCTCGGGTCCTGAGCTCCTGAGGCCAGGACTCCCCACCTTTGTATTGGTGTGCCTCAGTTTCCTCAACCTGGGCCCTCCTCCCCGGGGGTCAGAGCACCTCCAGGAGGGTGCGGGGTGGGGGGGAGAGGCCGGTTTGGGGCTCGCGGGCCTGTCTTGTGGTGCTGGAGGAATCGGACCGCAGCCATGGCCGCAGAGCCTTGGCGCCCGTCCCCGGAACAGCGTGTGCAAGGCCAGCCGCACGCACGCCTGTGGCCAGGGCCAGGGCCCTCCCACCCCTCCTGCGGGGGCACAGGGGTGCCCGCGACCCCCAGGGGGAGGGCCTGGGCAGGCTGGAGGCCCAGCAGACCCGGCCGGCCCCTCTCCCGGCCCCCTTCTGGACCGTTGAAGGCCGGAGGCGCCAAGGCGTCCACTCAGGTGGCCGGAGCGAGGTGCTCCAGAAGCCGGCGGCCGTCTCCCAGATGGAGGCCTGCTCTGCTGTGTGGGAGGGCACAGGTGTGCGCCTGCAGCCACTCTGGGGTCACGCCAGCCTGGGGGTCAGCGCGGGCCGGGGCAGGAGCTGCCGGTGACGAAGCTCAGACCCTACCACCCTCCGCCCGGCTGCCGCTGCCTGGGTCCCCGCCAGGCCTGGCCGCTGTGCGGCGGCCACCCCAGAAGTGTGGGGTGCTGGGCTCTGGGCCGGGGGTTTAATTAGGGGCCGCCACACAGGAGGACGGCGTGTTCCAGGACACCGCCCCCTCCCGGGCCTCAGCTCTGCTTCATAGCCCCAAGCCATTTGATCGCAACTTGCCCCTGCTAGTATTTTTAATGCCATTTTTGCAAATTAAAGCATAATGCACCGATTACCAGGATAAAAGGGAGGCCTGTGCGTCCGTCCGGAGGCCCAATACAGGAACGCTGGAACATCTGTGCGTCTCGCCAACGTCTGCAAGCGCTTTCCTCTCCCCGCAGCCAGCCGGTCCACCCTCTCGCTCTCCTGTGCCCCACGTGGGCGGTGGGCGCAGGGCCGCAGACCACGCAGGCAGGGTGCGACCGGGCCGGTCATACGGCCAGTGCCCAGCTGCTGCTCCCCGGCCTCTACCCTCGGAAACGAGTCTCCACTCAGGGCGGAGCCCAGGCGCGCCTGGCGTCGGTGACCCCTCACGCCGGGGGTCCGGCAGCCCCGGCGGCCCGCGGTGGCACAGGCCGGGGCTCCTGGGAGAACCCCTCTCCAGGGCCCAGGACCCCCCACCCACCTGGCTGGGCCTATTGGCTGGTACGGCTGGTGTGGGGTCCCTGCGTTCGCGGAACGGCCCTGCAGGGAGCAGAGAGTCAGAGACTGGCAGACGGTGGGTGGCTGGGACATGAACTGCCCGTTTATTTGCCATTGCTGAGGGCTGCCGCGCTGGGCAGCGGTGAGCCCGGGCTGCGGGCCTCGGCCCAGCTGCCCGGGGTGGGGGGCAGGCGCGGGGCCGGCCCCTGGCCTCTGACAGCCCGCCCTGCGCTGGGCCGTAGGGCCGTGGGGCGGAAGTGAGGCACCCGTGGGTGGGCGCCGGCGCTCGGCCCGGCTGCCGGTCGCTCCTCAGGACTGGACCATGCGCTTGTGGGGGTCGAAGACGTAGCGCTTGAAGGACAGGCTGAGTGTCACGTGCTGGGGCTCGGGCCGCTCGGGGCCCTCCTCCGGCCTGGCCACTTCCCCCAGGCCGGGCCGGACGCGCTTCTTGAGGGCAGGCGCCAGGGTCTTCTTGGATTCAGGGCCGAGGCCACCTGCAAGGTGAGGAGTCACGTCACTGTCCCTGCCAGAGAGGGGCCTGGGGGCTGGAAGCGCCTGCTCTCCCCGCCTTGGGCTTTGGTTGGGCTAATGGGGCCCTGCTGGCCAGAGGATGCAGCAGGGAGCTGTGGCTGGGGAAGGGGGCCTCTTTTCCTTGGCTCCCTGGGCCAGGCTGACCTCTGCTCCCCCGGATTGCAGCGCGCACTGCGCCCCCCCCCCCAGCCTGTCTCTGCTGCATGCCCGCCCGGCTCTGCCCGCGTTGTGAGCTGTGGGGACACTGGCCCCAGCGCCCTGCCCCTGCCCCTCAGCCCCTTCCTCCGCAGCGCCTTCCTCCGCAGCCCCTTCCTCCGCAGCGCCTTCCTCCGCAGCGCCTTCCTCCGCAGCCCCTCTTAGGTGTTCATCGACAGAGCTGGGTGTTTCTGTGGTGCACCAATGGGTGTTTCAGCAGTGGAATGTGAATGGCGGTGTACTTAAATAAAGCCGACGTTTCCACTGTGCTGTGTACTTATTGCCCTGAAGATACGTGCAGGGGGAGGCGGGGTGGGGCCCGGGGGCCTGCGCGGTGGGGAGCGTCCACCGCCTGCCTGGCGCCCAGCTCCGCAGCCCGACCCAGGGGCAGCGGGCACGCTGGCCTCACCTCCACGCTTAGCCCTTCCCGGGAATCTCAGTGCCCAGGCTCCCCAAACACCACCCAGGGCATCTCCTCCCAGGCCGGGGTGCTGAGGCCCAGGCGGGATGGGGCTGGCTGAGTCTGCAGCCACCATCTCATCCTTAGAGGAGGGACCGCGTACGCGGATGCCAAGGGCCCTGCGGGGTCCTGCTGCTCCTGAAGTTCTGAAGGGTGAAGGGCTGGGGGGCGGCAGCCCTGCCGTGCACGCCCTCTCCCTCCAGCAGGTGGAAGAGGAGGGGAGGGCTCCAGGTCAGGCTGCCCACCACGCGCCCTGCAGACCGCCCTGTGGCCGGTGAGGCCCGCCCCGGCCCCGGGGAGCTGCCCCTGGGGGCAGCCGCGGGGGGTAGGGCTGCACCCCACCAGGAGGACCCTGTGGCAGAGCCTCACGCTGGTGCCAGGCCTGCGGGTCTGAGCCCAGGGCCAAGCCTGGCTGCCTGGCTTCCTTCTGCAAACAGAGACGGCGACTGGCACCAGACCCTGACAAATGGCACCGGCAGCCTGTCTCCCTCTGGTGCCAGGAGGTCTGCCGGTGGGGGTGGTGGGGGCTCTGGGGAGACAGGCGCGACCCAATCTGCCGGCATCTCCCGCCTTGGCTCACCTTACACGCTCCGCACACACTGCCACAGAGCCGGGAACTCCGCCGGGCACCCGCGGAGCCCCAGGCCATCCTGAGAGGGCGGGGCTCGCCCCCCCCCCCCCCCGGGCTGCGTTCGCGTGGCCAGGTGAGGCTGTACACACACTGTGCAGAGCGGCCGGCAGAGGCAGACGCGGCCAGCCCTCCCGGGCCGAGCGAAGCTCCTGCAAGCTGCCTAGTGCTAGGGGCGGCCCAGGAGACAGCCCGTGTGGCCCTGGAGGAAGGCGGTGGGGACTGAGTGTGTGCAGCACAGGCTCTGGAGAAAGCTGGACCTGAGGCCAGCTGACAGGGCCCAGCCACGCGCACAGGCCCTGGGAGCCGCTGGGAGAGGGCCAGGCCCACCGGGTTAGGGTGGGTGGTGGGGGCACTGCCTGGCGTCCACATCTGCAGCCCGGGGCCTTGGGGGCACCCGCCTGGCCGCCTGGCCAGCCGCCCCCCTCAGACCGTCCTGGGGAATCCCGGTGCCCCTGCCCCGGCTCCATCCCATGCCCATGCCTCCCCAGGCCAGGATGGCCTCCCTCCCAGGAAGCGGCTCTGGAGCTCCCGCCCCGCCCGCACGCCCCAGGCCGCTGCCCCGTCCCCAGCGAGCCACGCATCCGTGGCTCTGACTTGTGGACCTTGGGGCCAAGGAGCAAACTCCTGCACCCCACACCAAGAAAGCATGTGTTCACCGTGGCGGGAAAGCACGTGAGCTGCGTGTGTCACCACTAGAGTGGAGAAGCCCACCTCCCAAACCCGAACAAGCGCCGGGCGCTGCGGGCCGAGACCCCTGCGGTGCGGCCCACGCCGGCAGAGCCCCAAGCGCTGGCCCGTGGCCCGACGGGGCCCTGTGGCTGCGTCGGGACACACCCGCACTGTGGTGGCATGGCGTCGTGTGTACGGCACATGTGGGGGCTGAGGAAGGGCGGGAGGCGGTGGCAGGACCCCGCCAGGCTCCAGTCCTCGGCTCCGTGTCCAGGGCTGGGCTGGGACAGCCAGGGCGTCTGCGGGTCCTGAGGGCAGGGACAAGGTCTCCACGGCTCTGTGGTGCTGTGCGGCTCTGGCCTCTGGCCCGCATCAGGGCAGTGACAGGCAGGGCCTGGTCCCTGGCGCTCCCGGCCTCCCGAGGCCCCGGGGCCTCAGGCGCGGCTGTGTGACTGATGGAGTCTGCTCTTGCCTGGCGTTCAGCCCTGCCCCCCCAGCCCCCGCTCTTGTTGAGCCTCCTGCTTCAGCCACACGCAGCCAAGCTGGGCCTCTGAGCACAGGGCTCTGAGCGGCGCTCCATGGATGCCCACACCCCAGACTGCTGTGGCGTGGCAGGGAGCGGGCCCTGGGCTGCTCCAGGCGGGCCTGGGGGGCACGGGAGCCCACGGAGGACCTCACCCAGCACCATCCCCGGAGCCCACGGAGGACCTCACCCAGCGCCGTCCCCCAGGACCTCACCCAGCGCCGTCCCCCAGGGAGGACCTCACCCAGCGCCGTCCCCCAGGACCTCACCCAGCGCCATTCCCCAGGACCTCACCCAGCGCCATTCCCCAGGACCTCACCCAGCGCCGTCCCCCAGGACCTCACCCAGCGCCGTCCCCCAGGGAGGACCTCACCCAGCGCCATTCCCCAGTACCTCACCCAGCACCGTCCCCCAGGACCTCACCCAGCGCCGTCCCCCAGGACCTCACCCAGCGCCGTCCCCCAGGACCTCACCCAGCGCCGTCCCCTAGGGAGGACCTCACCCAGCGCCGTCCCCCAGGGAGGACCTCACCCAGCGCCGTCCCCCAGGACCTCACCCAGCGCCATTCCCCAGGACCTCACCCAGCGCCGTCCCCCAGGACCTCACCCAGCGCCGTCCCCCAGGGAGGACCTCACCCAGCGCCATTCCCCAGGACCTCACCCAGCGCCGTCCCCCAGGACCTCACCCAGTACCGTCCCCCAGGGAGGACCTCACCCAGTACCGTCCCCCAGGGAGGACCTCACCCAGTGCCATTCCCCAGGACCTCACCCAGCGCCGTCCCCCAGGACCTCACCCAGCGCCGTCCCCCAGGACCCCACCCAGCGCCATCCCCCAGGGAGGACCTCACCCAGCGCCATCCCCCAGGACCTCACCCAGCACCATCCCCCAGGGAGGACCTCACCCAGCGCCATTCCCCAGGACCTCACCCAGCGCCGTCCCCCAGGACCTCACCCAGCGCCGTCCCCCAGGACCTCACCCAGCGCCGTCCCCCAGGGAGGACCTCACCCAGCGCCGTCCCCCAGGACCTCACCCAGCGCCATCCCCCAGGGAGGACCTCACCCAGCGCCATCCCCCAGGGAGGACCTCACCCAGTGCCGTCCCCCAGGGAGGACCTCACCCAGCGCCGTCCCCCAGGGAGGACCTCACCCAGCGCCATTCCCCAGGACCTCACCCAGCGCCGTCCCCCAGGGAGGACCTCACCCAGCGCGGCTTCCCTTCTCCCCATCTTGGGGCTCCTGGGAGCCCAGGCCCCGGATGCAGTGGCGTGGCTGCCTTGACCCTGATGACAAGGTCATGGTGGCTCCCACGGGGACCTCTCCCAGGCCCGCACCGGCCTTTCCTCACTGAATGCTGGCCACACACAAAGGCACCATGGCCGCAGGCTGTGGGTCTTGGCTTGGGCCGGGGGTAATCAGGGGAGAATGCGGGAGGCTCGGCGCTTCCCAGCCCGGCACGGCCTGGCCATCAAAGGCCGGCAAATTGCCTCCAATTTCTGGAGTTGCTTTCATGTTGGGGGCCAGGCTGGGAAGGGGCCTCCGCGCTGGTGGGCGGCTGGCACCCTCAGTGGGAACTGAGCTCACAGGCAGTTGGGGTCACCGGCTCTGGCCCCGGGGCGGCTCGGGCGGCTGCTCAGCTCTCCCTCTGCTGGGACCGCAGCGGTGGCGGGAAGTGCTGAGCAGGGATGGGGGCTCCTTCCGCCTCTGCCGCGGCCTGCAGGCGGGCAGCGTGACCGGCTGGCCACCGAGGCGCTGGATGGCCAGCTTGAGGCCCGACATGGGGCCTGCAGTTGTATCCATGCACAGAGGCCTTCCTGGACGCTTGTCTCGCAGGTGGTCAGCTAAGGTACACTGAGGCTCAGAGCTAGAGAGTGCCAGAGGCAAAGCCAAGGAGCTGGTCTCCCTGCTGGGGAGCGACTGGCTTCGCCCATCTTTGTCAGGTGAGCTTCTTTGGTGCTGACTCGCTTTCCGGTGCTCGTGGGCTGGTGGCAGGGGCTGTTTCCCATCCTTTCCCTCCCGAGTGTGGACCCCACAGGCAAATACAGATGCAATTTGCTTTAAAAAGATAAAGTGATTAATTTTTTTATCAGACAACAAAAGGAAAGGGGGGGCGGGCGGCCGGTGGGCCCATGCGCCCCTCGATTGGGTGGACGCAGAGGCAGCGCGCCTACACCCCCATTTTGATGTCTTCGTGTTGTCTAATTCCTCCTTTTATATTAAGCTTCTTAGCAGTAATGATGAATTCTTCAAAAACAAAAAAGGACCCTTTGCAGGAACGTTTCCCACACCACGCATGCTGAAATCATGGAGCAGTCAGAGCTCTGGCAACTGTGCGGCGCTGCATTGTGAGGAGGGATTTCTTTTTAAGGCAAAAACAAAACCATTCTGATTCAGGCAGGAAATGACTTGGTGCCGAGGCCCAGACAGGCAGTGGGGGACGAGCCGGCCTCCCGGGGGAGGTTTGCTGCTCTGATCCGGGGGTGGCCAGC